TCGGTATAGCGTCGACCCGACGAATGCAAAGAATAAATGCTAGGGTCCCAGTTGGAATCGAACCCAAGCATTCTGCATGGTGATGAAGCATTGTACCACAAAGCTACGCCAGGTCTCGGAACTACTTTTTTTTAATTAGACGATAATCTTCGTGAAACGTCAATAGTAGCTGCAGTGTTGCCTATTCAACTTTATAAACATTACGTATGTGCTTCATACAGCCGTCACGTCGGATTAACGTCAATTGTGGTTAGATGCCAAGCACTGTAGTTGATTCATGTAGCAGTGTCCAGGGCCAGCATCTCCGCCAGCATCAGCACTTCATATCAGCTTCTGGTGTTGTTGATAGACATGTTCCAATCGGCATCGTTGCGCAAATGCAAACAACTGATTATCCAAACCTCTGCAATTCTCCAACGTATGTCTGTGCGTGCAACATTCGTACATGTATTTAGCGTCATTTGATGGCGTGTCGCTCAATAAAAAATTTGCAACACGGTCACCTTGCCTCGGCATGCTTGACATAACGTCGATTCCCAGGTACAAAACGTCAATTCTCAAGTGAAAAAAAAATTTTTTTTTGAGAATATGGAGTCTGTGTACAGGCGTTGACTCTGTCATAGACGAATTTCTAAGGAGATCGAAAAAAAAGAGGAGGGGGAGGGTATCAATACAATCGACTAAGAAGAAGCATTCGAGCTATCATAGGCGAATGTACACATCGCGATACTTTTAAGAGTCATTCGCCAAACCACCTTATACCCTACTATACTAATTTTGGTTTACACTTCGTTAAGGAGGTAAGTGCGAAGTACTTCAACTGTGCTGGTTGTCGTGTGCTGTAGTCACTTGGTGTAACACAAGCAAAATCAGGTATAAAAAAATAAACAGAGGGAGCAGGCAATAAATAAAAACGGGAGAAAGAAAGGGCAAAATGAAAAGAAAAAATGAAAATAAATAGAAATGAGGAGAAAGAACGGGAGAAAGAAAGGGTAAAATGGAAAGAAAAACGAAAATAATTGAAATGAGGAGAATGAAGACAAAACAATGAAAAAAAAAGAGAAAGTAAGAGAGGATGAAAGAAAAAAAATCGAACAGAAACAAAGATGGCTGCCGTGTTCCAACACTTCGTGCGGATTTGGCACCACTGAAGTACCATTCTAGTGAGAATACTCTTCAAATCAAAATATCGAAGTGGATATCATAGTTTAGCAAAGCAGGCTGTATGCTTTCGTCGTTGCTAATATGTAACTAGGCAAATCATTGCTCATCCGAGTAGATTCCTTTTTTAGCGTATTTTGCGATAATAATCAATAATAACGTCCGAAGCCACGTTAACTCTTTGTTGTTGTTGTTTTTTAAACCTTCACGTATTGACAAAAAACGGGGCCTTTCGATCCTTTTCCCGCCGTTTACACACTTGCAGGGCGCTCGTACAGGTTGACCTCAAAGGTGGACGTTCGATTGGCGCGTCGCGGTGGGCTTCATTTGTAGGTCTCGCGTGACGTCGGCAAACCGCGCGTAGGGCTTCCCTGCACAACGACTGCGCCACTTGCTTGTTTTTTCCGCAGTGCACGCAACCGACGGGGCAGAGTCTGCACGCCAGGCTCGAACACCGGTACGCGCGGCCACGGTTCGTTCCGGACCCGGGCTAAATATAGAATGTGGCGATAATTGATTGATCAATTGATTGATTCATTGATTGATTGATTGATTCATTCATTCATTGATAGATTGATTCATTGATTGATAGATTGATTCATTGATTTATTGATTGATTCATTGATTGATTGATCCATTGATTGATTGATTGATTGATTGAATGATTGATTGATTGATTGATTGATTGATTGATTGATTGATTGAACGTTTATTATCATTTGTCACATGAGGTTTACAAACACTGATCGGACCCATAGCCTGAGGCTATAGTGTAGGGTCCAATGAGAAAAGTAACGGACAGAAGCGGGAAATATCAGTTACACATAATACATATGTAGCTATACAGACACTGTAATGTACACATATACAGAGTAGAGAAGTCTTCCTCTTCTTAAACAACCTGAATTGTTGTGATTCGTTCTGATGAAGAACTTGTTTTTGATGTTACTCATGTTCTTTCCTGCTGTATGGTACCCCACCCCTGCAATAGCTCTGCATTGGGCTGCAGTATTTGAAACTAAATAATAAATAGAGCGGGAAAAAAAATCAATAACCCACGAGGCCAGTTATATTTGGCCGGCTCTTCTGGCAAACGTGTGCGTAACAGTGGTGTTACAAATTGGATTAAACGCGGTCATTGAATCACGCCAGGTTGCAGACTCGTGTTCGGGGTTTCCATTGGGTGGCCCTTGTGAAGAGGCGCCGAAACTCGAGCCAAAAGTAGGGCAAAGTTGTCAAGCCATTTAATGTTATTGCCAACTTTGTAGCCAAACACAACTGCAGTAGTGTCTTGAACCGAGCTTTTACCAGTGGCGAATAAATAAAATTATTTCAAGGTATGTAAAACCGGGAGTTTAAAAAGTAGCCCGAAAATAGCCGTGGTGCCAAGGTTATCGTCGCCAAAACGGGTCGAAAAGTAGCCAGTGTGCCGCAATGTAGTCACCGACGGCAGCTCTGCTAACCGTGGTACGCTTCAGTGGCTCAGGTCGTTGCGCCGCTAACCTCGAGTATTCAACGCACAAACTTGGGCTAGTGGGCATAGTTTCTGAACTTCTACAATCGGCGTAACTTTTAATTAACCAACATATTCGGGCTGTATGCAGTCCAACTACGCAGTGCACTTATGTTAGCGCGTTCTAGAAGAGTCCCCGGAAATCTGCATTCAAGGCTGCCTGCCGAAGCGTCGGGAACATCAAGTTCTTACTTGCGTCTCGTGGCCCTGAAACATTTAACGCTGACTGCATATCCTAACACGCGCAAAGCAACAATCACAGACTGGAGAGAGACTTCTGCGTCTTTCCTACGCACCCGTTCCCTCTACATGCCCCGCCGCGGTGGTCTAGTGGCTAAGGTACTCGGCTGCTGACCCGCAGGTCGCAGGATCGAATCCCAGCTGCGGCGCCATGCATTTCCGATGGAGGCGGAAATGTTGTAGGCCCGTGTGCTCAGATTTGGGTGCACGTTAAAGAACCCCAGGTGGTCGAAATTTCCGGAGCCCTCCACGGCGTCTCTCGTAATCATATGGTGGTTTTGGGACGTTAAACCTCACATATCTATCAATCAATCAATCAATCATCTACATGCGTCTTGCTTCTTTGATATTTGCTCCGCGCTTTTTAAGATGTACAACCCAAGCTCGTGACGCGGGGGTTTGACTCTAGATCACAGGGAGCACTTTCGGATAGGAAAAAAAGCGGGGAGGCGAGGAGGGATAAAATATAGATGCAAGGTGTTTGTTGAAAGTAACGCTTTAGTTCGACCTCATTGTGCACTGATTTATATATATAAAACAGAACATGTGCAAGGATATGCGAGTTCCAATCCAAACTGCATAACGTTACCTAACAATTTAAACCATTGTGTGAAGATATATTGAAGAATCTTTAAATCTTGGACTGAATTGTTGGCTGCGTAATAACTTAGTCGTATGTGGAGATAACCAACCGTGTATGAAGCAATAACTTCAATGGAGCATAAATTCTTGCTCCGTATAGTCATACTCAAGTAGTAGTCAATAATTAATAATAATTTAATGGCGTATAATTTGTTTGTTTGTTCGTTAATTCTTTCGTTCGAAGGCAGGCACTACTTCAACAATTTTACCCGTTCCACCAGTACTGGAGTCGCGCACATCCCAAGGTGTTTCAGCATAAGTTTACCGTAATCTTCAAAAGATTATTCGGCGGGGATGCGATCACTACCTTAACTTAAACTATAGCACAGTTTAATCCAATCTAACCCAAAGATTTGACTATCGCCACGAACCAGGACATTAAGTGCGGTCCCTGTATTACGCATTTAGTTATTACACGCGGCCATCTTCTCATACACCGTGTCTATCAATGAATGTACTATCGGCGTCAAATGAAAAAGCCAAACAGCGGCAAGACTTCGAGATGGTATAGTGTGCGCCGTCCGATCATTGCCATGGACAGGCATGAGGATAACTGCACGGCGTGCACTATACCATCGCGAAGGCCTGCTGTTGTTCGGCTTTCATTTGACGCCGATATTGCACGCAATATAACGCGTTGATTTGGCCGTGTGATGCCATCGTAAATGGTGGAAAACATTGGGCGTCTTGGTGTACAAACTTGTTAGCCTTGCAGTGCCATGCACGCTAAACGCGACTTATCGAACGAAACGCAACGAATAAGGTCACGTGCTGCGTGACGTCAGGATCAAGTGACGGTCACGCAACGCCCTCTCGTGGCCTTCATTGTTGAGGTTATCCGCCACAAGGTTACGCTGCCATGCCCGGTATGAGTTACGCTGCATAATTGCTTGGGGCAGGACTAACGAGCATAAAGAAATGACGATCTGTAAGCCTGCTGCTAATAGTACGTTGTGTGACGCACTGTGACAATGTTCGTAGGACAGTGTGTGACGCAAAAAAAAAAGATATTTGGGGAAGTGTTATTTAGCGAGATGCAGTTAGGTAAACATTCAGCTTGATATCCAATCGATCGAACGCTCTGTAAGTCTCCCGAACATGATGATATTTCTGTCTTCTTTCTAAATAATAACTTCTCAGTAGCTTATGGCCAAATGCATATTACAAATGAAGATATATGAACCCGAAAATTGTCTCACTAACCGCAGTAAAAGCACTCGAACATCAGTCCAGTGCCTCGGCACGTTGCAGTACAAATCCATTCATTCATTAACTCACAATTTTACTTCTAATACGTACGAGAAACATTGCGACAACGTTGGCGTACGGAAAGTGTTGACGGATCACGTGTTCACGTACGCGTATTCGTTAGGAGTTGCCTTACGTAACCACCGATCTAGTCAGACCTTGAAAAGCAGAGTCACAACCGCCCTTAATCTCTCACCTGGCGCCCTGGTACGAGGTGAAGTCGCTCGGATGCGCCGTGCTTTCCATTTCTTCCATTTCAAGGCCGAGTCCGACGGCTTTTCACAGCGAACGCCAGCGCCAGCACGGCTAGCTAGCTATTGCGGATTTCGTCGGGGCGCGCGGTGCCCGGCCAGGCCTAGCGACGACTACGGCTCGCCGCCACAGCCGTAGCGTCGCTCCCGATGAACACCGGGGCCTCCGACGCCGATTCAGAACGCCACGAACACAACGCACTCGGCGAGATGACGCACGCACTTAGCCGTACGCCCCAGGATGAAGCCGCCGCTTCGGAGTGCTGTGCGGCTGCGGTGGTTACGTAGAGCTCACTTCCGCCGCCAGCGCTGAAGCACTGCTGCAAAGCCGACTTGCAGGAGGAAACTAGCGCCCGACGCCATTTTGTACGACGAGGGCGGACCTACGAGAGAGAGAGAGAGAAAAGGAACAGAGGAAGTCGGTGACGCAACTGTTAAGCCGATAAAGGGAGGAAAAGAGAAGGCGCGGATATCGTGACGTCATCAGCAGAGGCAACGAGAGCGAGAGAGCATAATAGAGTGCAAAAACGCGAAGTGGCACGCGTCGCTTCGATTTCTCTAGTGTTGCCAGCAGGCAACAGTGGCCTTGGGGATTCCGCGCCAAACCGATCGGCTCCCAGTCTTGGAGGCGATGATATTATAGAGTGAGAACACTCTCTCAGACATAGCATAAACCCTACAGGGACGTAGCCAGAACTGTTTTTTTTTTTTTTAGTAAAAAGGGGTTTAACTATGCTGTACGTCGTGTTCGTGCGTGCATATGTATGAGCGCTGGTATATATACACGCGTAAAATCTAAAAATAATAGTTAGGGCAACTTGCACAAGGTCGCGCAAGCAGACGTGACGGACTAGAATCTGAAGATAAAGAAGTTGATGAAGAGAACGCATGCCGGTACATAAACATAAAAGTTTTCGTACGCCACACGGTAATCTACGCTTGCTCAACATTACTATACACGATTATGCTTTGTTTCTCTATATTTTGTGTATGCTGCTTTATATCACTTTTTCTGTTTGTCTATTTATTTGTCTGTCTTTCGTATCTACTTGTTTTCCTTTCTTTTTTTTCTTCTTTCTATGCCTTTCTTTATCTCTTTCTTTGTAAACGGTCGCTCGCCTTGTATTCTTGTTTCTTTTCTTCCTATTCATTTATATCTATCTATCTATCTATCTATCTATCTATCTATCTATCTATCTATCTATCTGTCTATCTATCTATCTATTTACTCGTTCTCTCATACTTTCTTCCCTTCTAATCCTCACGACTCCCCTCATCCTTGCTTTCTATTACCACCACCGTGCTGTACTGTAAAATGCCAGCGTACCTGGACGCTGGCATTCTTATCGGTGGTACGTTATTTGGAATCTCGCCTCGGCAGTTACTGTAATGAAACTATCTCTCTCACTCTCTCTCTCTAATCGTTTGCTCGGCCATCGAGTTATTGCATTCCTCGATGGAAAATACGGATGCCGGGCAATTCGGGGATTTGGAATCAACGTATTTGGACAGCGCAAAAAATCAAGTAGTTACAGTGTAACTACGGAAGGGAAGACACACGGACACACAGCCCCACCGCGGTGGTGTAGAGGCTAAGGTACTCGGCTGCTGACCCGCAGGTCGCGGGTTCGAATGCCGGCTGCGGCGGCTGCATTTCCGATGGAGGCGGAAAATGTTGTAGCCCCGTGTGCTCAGATTTGGGTGCACGTTAAAGAACCCCAGGTGGTCGAAATTTCCGGAGCCCTCCATTACGGCATCTCTCATAATCATATGGTGGCTTTGGGACGTTAGACCCCACATATCAATCAATCAATACGGACACACATGGACGGTACTCTTTCCTGTACACGTGTAATACTTACGTATAGTTACGCTGTAACTACTCGCTTTTTGCGCTGTGCAATTATGTCGATGGAAAAACAGACGCACCTCTTCTGGTAGCGAAGCAGAATAGGAAGAAGAGGAGGGGCGATGAATAAGAAAGCGAAGGTGGTGCATGCTGGTTAATGATGATGATGATGATTTTTATATACGGCCAAGCTCTACCCCAACAGCCCGTCTGTGAAAATGCGGAAGTAGGAGCTTAACACCTCATTCCTTATATTTCAGCTTATGCAACGAAAAAAAAAAAACCTTGTCTAGGGTGCCCAGCTAGATGTTATGGATGTCCGCGGCCCAACAAAAAAAAAAAACACTATAAATGATACGAATAAAGAAAAAAAATATATTCTTGTTGTGGAGTTTGAACAAGAACTCAACAGTCACAGCCAATGGCTATGCGTTTTCCGAACTCTCAGAATAACACGTGTGCCCAGTCACCACTGAAAAGATCACACTAGAACACCAACAGGGGGAATGCGGAGTCTGTTATATCACGTTGGCACTGTGGCAGCTAAGGTCGGGGAACTCACTCGTGAGTCTGACTCGCTCGTGCTGACTCAGACTCGTGGCTTGATCCGAGTGAACCCGAACGAATCCGGGTGAGTGATGTTTTGGTGCCCTTGCCTTCAAGTGAGTCCGGCTAAAGAAACTTTTCGTTAGTTTGAGCCCAAGTGAGAACGGCTTAGGAAGATTCGGGTGAGCCCGAGTCCGATTGAGTCAAAAGTACAAGATATATATATCTTAAGAGATATTAAAAAAAAAGCGGCGCACAAAAAGACGGAGACAAAGAAGAGAACCACACACAGCGCTGCACTCACAGCTGAAAGTTTAATCCGAGCAACAAGAATTTTAAAAAGTAATAGCCGCGCATGACAAGTGAGGTACAACGAGATTAAACGATACGCTCATCAATAAAAAAGAACTCTTTTTTGTGCAATGTAACCGAGGTCTGGCTTACGCAAGCATCACGTGACTTGTTAATATGATAGGCTTCAGACACCTCACTGGTGAATTGATCATGGTGCTTAAAAATAATAACAGTGTTAGACAGATCAGGTGTGCACCCCCACGTGGCACAATGGGAAGCCAAATGGGAAGGCGTGCCGTTATGCAAAGAGAGATAGTGCTCCCGCAACCTTTTATTGACACAGCGGCCCGTCTGTCCCACATAATGAAGGCCACAAGACTTTTTAAAATTCTTGTTGCTCGGATTAAACTTTCAGTTGTGAGTGCAGCGCTGTGTGTGGTTCTCTTCTTTGTCTCCGTCTTTTTGTGCGCCGCTTTTCTTTTAATATGAATATACACCAACTCGCCCAACTCTCTATTCTGTTACTATATCTTAAGAGAGTCTGAGTGAGTCCCCCCCCCCTTTTTTTTTTGCCGACCTATGGCTAGCAGTACATCATCACACTTTGATCCTCCTTGAGACACACAGGTTATTCATGCAATGGTTATTCATGCACAGGCCCAAAAAAGCGTTTCACTGGCGTCGTTACTACACAGAAGCTGGTTAATTTCGGCGTGGCTATGCTGCCCTAACTTCATCTGAGCCGCCATGTGGGAGCATCAGTACGTGAAGCATTGAATTTTCATAAGATGTTTACTAGAAGCAATTCTGGCGCGGTGATTAATGACGGGCGAAACCCTTCTAGTCTTCGCGCCTGTGGTTCTGGACACACTCGTGGCTTTGTTCCCTGTTGTTGTTGTTTTAGCTTCTCTTTCGGATAGAAGAATCACTCACTGTGAACCTGGTGAGCTGATTTGAATTGGTGAGCCTAAAAGGTTCATGGTATAGTGGAGCGTGACTGCTGAACTTTTTGCTGAACTTCGTGAACTTCCACTTGCGACAATGTGTCGGCAGGCCACGCACAGCCGCACGGCACCGAAAGAATCAGCATTCCCATGCTGGCTGAAATGCGTTGCGTTGCAACCGCCGTAGACACTAGCGCCGGATTTCCCTCTGGCGTATTGTTATGAAACTTCGTGACGTTGTGCATGGCCTCCGAGATTCACTGGTGCCGCCGGCTGATCTCGGAGGCCACGCGTTATGTATACCTGCGTTTATGACGTCACCTGCAAGCCATATCGACAAACAAAGGCTGTACTGGATTACTTGCCGAGGACGCAGCTCGGACGCACCAAAGAGACTCACAATTTTGTTTGTTTCTTCGCAGAAACCGCCGATGTACTTAGGGGATCGCCTTGTGCGCTGATTACGTCCCGGTTTTAGTTCTTCGATGATGTTCTCGTCGACGCCATGTTGACGGCGTCGGGGCCTATCGGTGCGGGCGGCGACCCGCCATGGCTCCCTTGGCGATGACCAAGCCGATGCCACCAAACACACGTTGGTTGGTTGGTCCCAAGAGGAATGGCTCAACCCACTACGGGTGATCAGCCATGAATCGCGTGGCAATGGGATACAAAATGAATAAAATACAGTAAAATATATGAGATAGACTAAAGACGAAAATAAGTAATGAGTATGTACTTATGAGATTAGCATGCTAGCCGGTTTGATTCTTTTGTATAGTTATATATGGCTCCGTATATGTCCCTGTTGCACTGACCTAGCTCCGAAGCCCCTAGGGAGAGTAGTACCGTTTCAGACAGCTGAAGCCCGTGTTTTTAGAAAGCTGGTATTAGACATTTTTTTTTCCTTTAAATTTTGATACCTACGGCATTCTGTGAAAAAGTGCTCTATAGTTTCTGTTTGTGTACAATAGTGACAATGAGAGGAAGAAACAAAACCAGGTCTCTATGAATAAAAGTTTAAAGGTGGAATCCTGCATCGCAATTTAGTGAATGTCACTTCGCATCGTCTTGTTGCACACCAAGCGCTGTACCACTGAAACTTAAGGCGCTGAAAATCTGCGCCATTTAGAGCAGAAGAGTTTGTGTCTTTCTGGCGTATACAGAAATTCCGAAATCGCGTGATTGTATATAAGCAGCAGGGTCTTAGAATATTCAGTATGGGGCCCTGAATTGATTCTGCGGCCAGTGTGTCCACCGCTTCATTTAGTATTAGTCCAGTGTGACCTGGCACCCAAACCAATCGGATAACACGAACGTGACTGGGTATATACGTATGGAATTCTAATAAATAAGGCGATGTTTTTGTTGCTGTCAGAGCAGCGCAAACTGACAAAGAATCAGTTAGTATAACAGCCGAAAAGATATA